CAATGATGCCCATCCTACATCTCAAGTATAACAACACCCAACTTAATTAACAGCACTCATAGCCTTCCTCCTCAACTAACACCCCAAAACCCAAACTTCAAGAGTTTCCCACTCTCAATACATCAAAAACCCCCCCCCAAAACTTCAGTGAGCACACTCCTTAACATCCCTTTAAGTGGCCACCCTCCCACACCCACTTAATGACCACCTCCTAAAACTAGTGACACCACAAACAGTTGATCACCCCTCAAATTAAAACTCAATGAGCCCCATCTCCAAAATCATTCAAGGACCACCCCCCAATAAACAGTCATTCAGATGCACCCCCCTTACACCTTCAATGTGCCACACTCCTCAACTTCATCAACCACTTTAAGTGAACCTTCCCTCCATCAAATACTTCAATGTGCCACCCTTTAAGTCACTCAAGTGACCACCATCCTACAATAACAACCCTTCAAGGATGCACCTCCCCACATAAACCCTCAAGTGATGATTCCTCCATACTCAACTTCAATGTGCCACATCCTCTACTTTGAGAAATATTCAGTGATGCCACCTCCCTAACTCATAACCACAAGGGGCATCACTCCTTACATCAAAGTCCTTAATGATGCACCCCCTCAACCTCAATTCAGGAGAACCCCCATCGAAAATTCAAGTGACCACTCCTTAATAAAACAACTTCAATTCCCCCTTTCCTAACACCTTTAGTGATGCACCCCCAATCTCAAATCATTATGAGCCACCTCCCACATAAATCCTTCAATCACCCTATAAGTCACTTCAATAGCACCATTCATCACCTTAATGGCCACTCCCCCTTTACGCTTTAATGTACTTCCTACCATAACACCCCTTAGTGAGACTCCTTCAATACACCAAATTCAAAGTGGCCACCTCCCTCTACTACTTCAAACATAAGTGATGCCCCTCCCCAACAATCAACACACAAGGAGCATCCTCCTCACAAACGTCCTTCAATGATCCCCCTTAAGGGCATTAAGTGAGCCACCCCATCTCAATACACCACGTCTTCAAATGATCCACCCTCACAAACCTTAAGTGTGCACATTAATCCACTTAAACCTTTAATTAAAAACCCTTATCCCCACTAAACCACTTAAATGATCACTCTCCCTAATACCCAATCATTCAAGTGATGACCCAATCAAAGCTTCAATGTTGGCCATCTACAAAAAACCACTTAGGATGCCAACCCCCACAATATTCAAGTGTTTCCAAAAACCGGACTTTTCCCCAAAAAGTCCTTCAAGTGAGACCTCCTTAAAAACAAAGCCTAAGGAGCCCCTAATCATCACTTCAAGTTTTGGCACTACTCCCCCTCAACATCAACGTCACTTTAATGAAACCACCACTACTCAAAGCCACTTTTGTGATAACACCACCCATCAATACTTAAACCAAATTCAAGGATGCGCCAATATTGACAGCCGTTAATGATACCACACTTCACATCAACACCCCCTTCAAGTGATAAAACCCCTCCCTCAAAATTGTCTACATCACTTCAATTATGCCACCACTCCCTCAATACATCAAAAATTCATTCAATGATCTATCCTCGGTCCCCTACATAACATTGACAGCCCTGTAAAAAAGTTAACCAAATCCCTCAACAGTCTCTTTAAGGTTTTACACAACTCCCCAACAGTTCTTAAAGAGCCACCCCTCCCCCAACTCATCAAAAGTCACTTCAAGGAGGCCCCCTCTCCCTCGACATCAACATCTCTTCAATGTTTAACCCCTCACACAAAAAACATCGAAGTCACTTCAAATGATGGCACCTTCCCTCTATATTTTAAAATTCTTCAAGTGATTAACCACTACATCAACATTCCCTTAAGTGATGCACCTCTCCCTCGACATCAACATCCTTAAGTTTGGGGAACTCTCCCTCAAAAACAAGAGTGACTTCAAGGAGCCAACCTTTCCCTTAATACATCACCGACTAAATAATGCCACCTTCCCTCACAAACCCAATTCTTCAAGTGATGATAACTACCGACAGTCCTTAATATACCACCCCTACCCAAAAAATAAAAGTCATAATGTGCCACCACTCCATAACATCACTTTAAGTGATGCCACTACTGTCAACTACTTCAATAATGCCACCACCCCTCAAAATTTTGACGGGCACTCAAGTGATGCCACCACTCCCCCAAAGGGCCCCTTAAAGATAACATTTCCCTCAAATTACAAAATCATTCAATTTTTGCCACAACTCCCTGACTTTTTTTAAAGGGGTCCCCCCAAACCCCCAAAACCCCTTCAAGTGATGCCACCTTCCCCCCAAAAACACCAAAGTCACTTTAAGGATTCCACCAACTACATCAGAGTCATTAAATGATGCCACCTCCCCTAACTACATAAAGTCACTTCAAGGATGGCACCTCTCCTCTTATTTAAAATCTTTCCCCAAAATGATTGCCCCCAATACATCAACATTCACTTTTAAGTAGCCCCCCTCTCCCTCGACACAACTACTTAAGTGATGAAACTCCTAAAAAAAAAGTGACTTCAAATGACGCCATCTCCCTTAAATACCAAAACCCCACTTCAAGTAATGCCCCCCTTTTCCCCCTTTCCCGAAGGCTCTTAGGATGACTCAATACATTTACAGTCATTTTAAGTAATTCACCACTAACCCCAAAAAAAAAATCAAAAATCATTTAAATGATACCACCACTCCCAAATTCCAACTTAGTGAGGCCCCTTTAAACCGTCAAAAAGTCACTTCAAAGTAATGCCACCACCCCCCAACTATGTTGACGTCCTTAAAATGATCCACCACCCCTCAAAGCCCCTTTAAATGATAAACTTTCCCCAATTACTCAACAGTCACTTCAAATTTATCCACAACTCCCCCGACATTCTCTTCAAGTGATCCCCCAAACCCTCAACAGCACTTCAAGTGATGCCACCACTCCCCCAAACACAAAAAATTCAAGTGTAAAACCCTCCAAGCCTTTAACATAAATTCAAATGAGCCACCACTACATCAACACCCTTAAGTGTAACCCTACCCCCCCCAACCACATTAAAACCAAATTCAAATAAACTGCCATATATTTGGGCACTTAGTGTACCTCACTTCTACTAAAAAACCCCCCTTCAAATGATAAACCACTCCATCCATATTTCTACAGTACTTCAATTGACCCCACTCCCCAACTACATCAAAATTCACTTCAAGTGATGCTATCACTCGGGCCATACTTTAAAATGACGTCCCTTAATAAATATGCCACCACTCCCCCCAGACACGCCTCCTTCAAAATCCCACCACCCTCAACTCTCTTTAAGTCTGACACAACGCCTCAACAGTTTAAATTTAAATGATCCACAAATCCCTCAAATACTCAAAAATCTCTTTAAGTGATGCCACCACTACATCAAAAATTCCTTTTAAGTGATTTCCAACTCTCCCCCCGAATCAACGTCACTTTAAATATGCCACCCCCGTCAACATCACTTCAAATAATGCCACCACCCCTCAAAATATGTTTACAGTCATTCAATATGCCCCCACTCCCTCAAAAAAGCCACTTCAATAAACATCTCCCTCAAAAAATTACATCAAAGTCCTTCAATTGAGCCCCACTCCCTCAACATCTCTTCAATGATGCCACCAATCCTTCAACAGTCACTTCAAGTGATAACACCACTCCTCAACTACTCAACAGTCACTTCAAGTGATGCCTCCACTCCCTCAACTACACAACAACCCCCTTCAAAAATAACACCACTCCTCAAAACATCAACCGTCACTTTAAGTGAGCCACCACCCTTAACAGTCTCTTTAAGTGCGCCACCCCACCCACAACCGGCACTATAATTTATCCCCCCACTCCCTACTATGTTTACAGCCACATCAAGTGATACCCGCCCCTCGACTCACACAATTCAAGTGATGCCAACCCACTCCGTAAAGTACTTCAAGTTAATGCCCCCCACCCCCACCCAAAAAATTTTTGAAGTACTTCAAATTGACCCCCATCCCTAATAATCAAACCCTTCAAGTAAGCCAACCTCCCTCGAATCAAAAGTCTCTTCAAGTGATGCCACCATATTTGACAGTCACTTCAAGTGAGCCACCCCTTTCCCCCGACACAAAAATCCCTTCAAGGGTGCCACCCCCCCTCAAAATACATCAACACCCACTTCAAAAGATGTAATCTCCTCCCTACATCGGAGTAACTTCAAATGTGCCACCATTCCCCCCACTATTCAGAGTCATCTCAAGTGATGCCACCAATCCCCAAATACATCAACACCATTCAAGTGATCCACCACTCCCTCAAAACATCAAAAACCCTTCAAAATGAAGCCACTCTCCCCACTAACCCCAAACCCCCCTTTTTTGTTTGGGGGGCCCCCTCCCCCCTCACTCAAGTAATCAAGTGATGCCAAAACCCCCTCAATACATCAACACCCCCCTTTAAGTGATGTAAACTCCTCTCCCTACATCGGGGTAAAATTTAAATGGGCCCCATTCCCTTATACTTTAAACATTCTGATGCCCCCTCCCTCAACATCAACACCCCCTTCAATGATGCCCCTCCCCACATCAACATCCCTCAAATGATGCCCCCTCTCCCTCAAAATACTCAACACCCCCTTAGTGAACCTCCCCCTTTAATCAAAATACTTCAATGAGCCACCCCTCCCAATTACACAACGTCACTTCAATTTCAAACCCCCACATTCTTTTTAAGGAGCCACAAAACCTAAAGTCACTTCAAGTAAGCCACCCTCCCTCGACATCAAACCCCCCCCAAATTTATCCACTTCCCTCAAACAAACAATTTTAAGTGAGCCCCCCTATTTGACTCCTTTAAAATGGGCAAATTTTCCCCCGACACAAAACCTTTAAGTGAGCCACCCTTTCCCTAACACACAACCCAAAATTCAAGTGAGAAACCCTCTCTCAGTACCCAGTAAATTTAATGTCCCCCATTCCCCTTTCAATTAAGGTCTTCCCCAATACCACCAATCCTCAATACCCCCAAAAAAACCCCCTTCAAGGTGGCTACTCCCTCACATCAAATCCCTTAAATAGCCACCCTCCCCCACATCAAACACCCACTTCAAGTGATGCCATCACTCCCTCTACATCGAAAGTATCTTCAAGTGATGTCACCACCCCCTCAACTACATCAACACCCACTTCAAGTGATGTAATCTCTCTCTCAACTACATCGGCGGTAACTTCAAATGTGGCCACCACTACTACAGTCACTTCAAGTGATACTGCATCAACACCCACTTCAAATGATGCCCCCTCTCCCTCAACATCAACAGTCACTTCATGTGATAGCACCTCTCTCTCAACTACATCAACAATCACTTCAAGTGATGCCACCTCTCCCTCAACTACATCAACATTCACTTCAAGTGATGTCACCTCTCACTTGACATCAATAGTCACTTCAAGTGAGGCCACCTCTCTCTCAAGTACACCAACCGTCACTTCAAATGATTCCACCACTACACCAACAGTCACTTCAAGTGATGCCACCATTAAATCGACTTTAACTTCAAGTGTTAACGCTACTCCCTCGACATCAACACCCACTTTGAGTGATGCCACCTCTCCCTCAACTACACCAACATTCATTTCAAGTGATGCCACCACTACATCAACATTCGCTTCAACTGTTGACTCTAATCTCTCGACATCAAAACCCACTTTAAGTGATGCCACCAGTCCCTCAACCACCACAACAATCACTTCAAGTGAGAACACCTCTCTCTCAAGTACACCAACCGTCACTTCAAATGATTCCCCCACTATAACGACAGTCACTTCAAGTGATGCCACCTCTCCCTCAACTACACCAACAGTCACTTCAAGTGATGCCACCGCTAAATCAATTTTCACTTCAAGTGTTGGCACTACTCCCTCAACATCAACAGTCTCTTTAAGTGAAGCCACCTCTCCCTCGACATCAACAGTCAATTCAAGTGTTGACACTACTCCCTCAACATCAACAGTCTCTTCAGGTGATGCCACCACTACATCGACAGTCACTTCAAGTGTTGACACTACTCCCTCAACATCAACAGCCAATTTAAGTGATAACACCTCTCCCTCAACTACATTAAAACCAACTTCAAGTGATGCTGCCACTATATTGACAGTCACGTTAAGTGATACCATCACTTCTACATCAACACCCACTTCAAGTGATAACACCACTCCATCAACTATGTCTACAGTCACTTCAATTGATGCCACCACTCCCTCAACTACATCAACATTCACTTCAAGTGATGCCACCACTCGGTCCCTCAACTATGTTGACAGTCCCTTCAAAGTGATGCCACCACTCCCTCAACAGTCTCTTCAAGTGCTGACACAACTGCCTCAACAGTCACTTCAAATGATGCCACCACTCCCTCAACTACATCAAAAGTCACTTCAAGTGAGGCCACCTCTCCCTCGACATCAACAGTCTCTTCAAGTGATGTAACCACTACATCAACACGCACTTCAAGTAATGCCACCTTTCCCTCTACACCGAAAGTCTCTTCAAGTGATGACTCAACTACATCGACAGTCACTTCAAGTAATACCACCACTACCTCAACTACATCAAAAGTCACTTCAAGTGATGCCTCCACTCCCTCAACTACATCAACAGTCACTTCAAGTGATGCCACCACTCCCTTAACAGTCTCTTCAAGTGCTGCCACCACTCCCTCAACCGGCACTATAATTGATACCACCACTCCCTCTACTATGTTGACAGCCACATCAAGTGATACCACTGCGCCCTCGACATCAACAGTCAATTCAAGTGATGCCACCTCTCCCTCAACTACATCAACAGTCACTACAAGTGATGCCACCACTCCCTTAACTACATCAATAGTCACGTCAAGTGATGCCACCAATACTACATCAACATCAACAGTCACTTCAAGCGATGCCACCACCCCTTCAACATTCGCTTCAAGTGATGCCACCACTACTACACCGACATCAGCAGTCATTTCAAGCGATTCCACCACTCCCCCAACAGTCACTTCAAGTGATGCCACCACTCCGTCAACAGTCACTTCAAGTAATGCCACCACCCCCTCAACTATGTTGACAGTCACTTCAAGTGATGCCACCACTCCCTCAAAAGCCACTTCAAGTGATAACACTTCTCCCTCAATTACATCAACAGTCACTTCAATTGATGCCACCACTCCCTCGACATTCTCTTCAAGTGATGCCACCAATCCTTCAACAGTCACTTCAAGTGATGCCACCACTCCCTCAACTACATCAACAGTCACTTCAAGTGATGCCACCACTCCCTCAAATACATCAACCGTCACTTCAAGTGATGCCACCCCTCCCTTAACAGTCTCTTCAAGTGACTGCCACCACTCCGTTAACAGTCACTTCAAGTGATGCCACCATTCCGTCAACAGTCACTTCAAGTAATGCCACAACCCCTCAACCACTACCTCAACAGTCACTTCAAGTGATGCCACCACTCTGTCAACAGTCACTTCAATTGATGCCACCAATCCCTCAACTACATCAATAGCCACTTCAAGTGATGCCACCACCCCCTCAACTTATGTTGCAGTCCCTTCAAGTGATGCCACCTCTCCCTCAACTACATCAACACCCACTTCAAGTGATGCCATCACTCCCTCTAAAATCGAACAGTACTTCAAGTGATTCACCACCCCCTCAACTACATCAACATTCACTTCAAGTGATGACTCTCCCTCAACTACATCGACAGTACTTCAATGTGCCACCATTCCTCTACTTACTTCGACAGTCATCTCAAGTGATGTCACCTATCCCTCAACAGTCACTTCAAGTGATGCCACCCCTCGGTCAACAGTCACTTCAAGTAATGCCACCACTACGACATCGACAGTCACTTCAAGTGATAGTACCCCAAACAACACCCACTTCAAGTGATGCCACTCTCCCTCCTACTATGATCCACTCAACATTGAACATTGACCATTCCCTGTAATAAGTGATGCTACCATTCCCTCAACTACATCAAGATCAGCTTCAAGTGATGCCATCTCTCCCTCGACATCAACAGTCACTTCAAGTGAAGCACCCTTAACAGTCACCGTGACTTCCACCCCTCCTCAATACCAAAGCACTTCAAGTGATGACCCCCCACTCCCTTTAGCTTACAAAAATAGTCACTCAAAGTGAACCACCTCTCCCCATCATCAAAAGTCAATTCAAGTGATGCACCTCACCCCCGAAATCAACACCGACTTCAAGTTATGACACCTCTCCCTCAACTACATTCAACAGTCACGTCAAGTGATGCCACCTTTAACTCAACATCAACAGTCACTTCAAGTGATGCCACCTAACTCAACATCTACAGTTTACTTCAAGTGATGCCCCCCTTTAACTCAACAATCAACAGTCACTTCAAGTGATTTCCACCTCTCCCTCACATCGACAGTCACTTCAAGTGTTTACACGCTCCCTCCCGACTCAACACCACTTAAGTGATGGCCACCAGTCCCCAACTACTTGCAGTCACTTCAAGTGATGCCACCCTCAACATCGAACAGTCCTTCAAGTATTACTACATCAACACGCCACTTCAAGTGATGCCACCCTTTCCCTCGACATCAACAGTCCTTCAAGTGATGCATCTCCCCTCGACATCAACAGTCACTTCAAGTGATACCACTCTCCAATTACATCAACAGTCACTTCAAGTGATACCATTACCTAACTACATCAACAGTCACTTCAAGGGAGCCACATCTAACAAGCTTTCAAGTGCTGCCACCTCTCCCTCACACACATGATACCACTACTCCATATTGACACCCCTCAAGTGAACCTCCCCTCGACATCAAAAAGTCTTCAAGTGATGCCACCCTTTCCCCCAACTACAACACCCCCTCAAGTGATGACCTCCCTAACACATCCAAAATAATTTAAAAATTTCCACCCCTAATAAATCAGAGTATTCAAGGGGGACCAACCCTTAAAATCCTTTTAAATGATGCCCCCATTCCCGAATCACGTCTTCAAGGATCCCCTCCCCAAACATCCCAATTAAGTGTTTCCCCCCTTTCAACAGTACTTCAAGAAAGCCCCCCCAAACCCCCCTCAAAAATTTACCACTTCAAGTGATTAACCTCCCAAAACCTTCGTGAACAATTCCCCCTTTTTAACAAAACCTTTAATTTAGGCCCAACACCCCCAACTTTTAATGATGCCCCCCATCCTCAACAGTCATTCAAAGGATGCCCCCCTCCCCAAAAACATCAACTCACTTTTACGATGCCACCCTCCTCAATCAAACAACCTCACTTCAAGTGTGCCCCCCCTCCCTTAAAGTCCTTAAGTGAGCCACCCCTAACCCGTCACTTTAAATGATCCCCCCATTCCCCAAAAGTCACTTCAAGTAATGCCAAAACCCTTCAACCACTCCCCCCAAAAACACTTAAATGATGCCCCCCCTCTTCAACTCACCAATTATCCCCCAAATCCCCAAAATAATCAAACCTTCAATGTGCCACCCCCATAAAAAAACCCCTTTTGTGATGCCACCCTCCCTCAACACACAACACCACTTCAAATGACCCCCCCTCCTCACACAAAATTATTCAATGATTCCCCCCCAATAAAAAAAACACACACTTTAAGTATGAATTTTCCCTCAACTAACCCTCTTAAAGTCCACCACCCCACATTCACTTTAATGTGCACTACCCCCCAACATCACTTTCAGTGAGCCACCCCCCTCAAAATCACTTAAAATTGCCACCCCCACATCCAGTCCTTAAGTGTGACATCAACACCCCCTTCAAATGTGCCCCTCTTCACCCCCTCAACATTAAAACACCCTTTAAGTTGTACATTCCTCAAAATACTAAAACACTTCAAGGAGGGCCATTTCCCTCACATAACACCCCTTCTAACAAAACTTTAAAAGGTTAAACCACTTCTCACATCAAAACCCCCTTCAAGGGTGAAAACCACCCCTCACTACAACCTCACCAAGTGATACCACCCCCCCTCACATAAAAAGTAAAAAAATGATGCCCCCCCCCCCAAAAAACCATTTAAGTTATACACTCTCCCTCAACTACATCAACAGTCACGTCAAGTGATGCCACCTTTAACTCAACATCAACAGTCACTTCAAGTGATGCCACCTTTAACTCAACATCAACAGTCACTTCAAGTGATGCCACCTTTAACTCAACATCAACAGTCACTTCAAGTGTTGCCACCTCTCCCTCGACATCGACAGTCACTTCAAGTGTTGACACTGCTCCCTCGACATCAACACCCACTTTAAGTGATGCCACCAGTCCCCCAACTACATTGGCAGTCACTTCAAGTGATGCCACCACTTCTACATCGACAGTCACTTCAAGTTATACTACATCAACACCCACTTCAAGTGATGCCACTTCTCCCTCGACATCAACAGTCACTTCAAGTGATGCCATCTCTCCCTCGACATCAACAGTCACTTCAAGTGATGCCATCTCTCCCTTGACATCAACAGTCACTTCAAGTGATACCATTACTACTACATCGACAGTCACTTCAAGGGAGACTACATCAACACACACTTCAAATGATGCCACCTCTCGCTCAACAGTCACTTCATGTGATAGCATCTCTCTCTCAACTACATCATCATTCACTTCAAGTGATGCCACCCCTCCCTCAACAACATCAAATGTCACTTCAAGTGATGCCACCTCTCACTCGACATCAATAGTCACTTCAAGTGAGGCCACCTCTCTCTCAACTACACCAACCGTCACTTCAAATGATTCCACCACTACAGCGACAGTCACTTCAAGTGATGTCACCACTAAATCAACTTTCACTTCAAGTGTTGACACTACTCCCTTGACATCAACACCCTCTTCAAGGGATACTGCATCAATAGTCCCTTCAAGCGATCCCACAACTCCCACTACTACATCAACAGTCACAAGTGAGGTCACCACTCTAAGACCAATAATGTCATCAACAAGTGGTGCTACTACAGTGATAACAGGTGCAGAAACCTCAGCAGTTGTAGCAGTATCCACTCCCTCCACCCCTTCACCGGGACTAACATCCAGAGACACTACCTTGGTGACAACTATCAAAACCACTGTTGCAGAATGCGGTATGATTATTTGCACTTATTCTCAAAAACCATCATAAGATTATATGATTGTTAAGATGTAGTGGAATTAAAGTTTTTTTTTAAGTACAAATTGATACCAAAGACTATTGAAATGTGTGAAAATATTGCTGTACATACTCTGCATTATTTGATCTTTATTGTGCCAGGTCGCAGTTGTAAATGAGAACTTGTTCTCAACTGGCTTACCTGGTTAAATAAAGGTGAAATAAAAATAAATAAATAAATTGTCATTTGTTTTCAGTGTCAGATGCTCTGTTGAATGTCATCAAGCTGGAGGATGTCACTAGTAAGTTAATCAGTGTGAGTTGGACTGGTATTAACCTGGACCAGCAGATACAGTACAAGGTGAAGCTGTCATCTAATTCCAACTCAACTCAGATTGAGACCTCAGTCACCAAAGCTGTTTTCTCAGACCTTATTCCTGGAACCATATACACTCTGATTATTGAGTACTTATCCTGCAGCATCAAGAAAAACATTTCAAGAGACATAATCACTGGTATGTCAACTCTTGTTCAAGTAATCTCCTTGAATTCATTTAGAGCATACATTTGTCTTTAAAACAATTATAGATAAAATGAGTACAATAGGACATTTTGTGCAAACATCACATTTGTTTTGTTAAATGTTTATCTTTACTCTCCAAAAAGCTGGAAAGGTCTATGAATCTTCCACTCGAATTCCAGGCAGAGAGTTTTTGTCTGATTATACAAATCAATCCAGCAAACTTTACAAAGACTTTGTGACCAATTTCATTATGCAGGTAAATATTCACTAAGCATTTTTTATAATTGCTTTTTAATTTAAGTCATATAATAAAACCTTGTATGATTTAAATGTACATATTTCTTTAAAGGTTGAAAACAATCTCCCGAAAGAATACCAGGACCTTATCAAGGCTAAACAAATGGTGGTGGTTGTGAGAGGTGTTCGCAGAGGAAGTGTGATCGTTGACTTTGATCTGGTCAATGCTCTGGAGGTCAAACTGTCAACCTCTGACGTGCAGAACAGTGTCATCAATGCGCTGAAAACATCTGCACTCGGAGTAGATCTGAATTTCACCTCAGTCAAAGGTTTTTGAATTCCAATAACTACATACAATGATATATTCTATGCTAGTTAATCAATCAAGTGATTTATTTTATAAATATTAAAGAACTAACAGAATTAAGGACGGTTGGATGATAGATTTGTATATCTAGGTATAAAACAGAAGTCTATATTTAAGCCAGGTGGTTATCATATCGCCATGTGTATTTAGTGGCTTTTAGTAACTTAATTTCTTCTTTATTACAGAGGCAGATATTTGCCAACGAGGAGATCACACATGCTCTAAAAATGCCAGCTGTGTCAGAGAGGGACCCTCACATACATGTGAATGTAAGGCAGGATTCTACGACGAAAACCCAACCGTACCGGGTACTGACTGCAAGAGTAAGAAAACTTAGCTGCTTGAAATGTGGGCCACACTTTACATGAAATAATTACCTTATACAAGAGTAACTACCAGTGGATGAACATAAGTTATTACCCTGTAATACACTAGTAAGTACATCCAGTTAAGCAGTATTTACCACTATTGCACTCACTGTTTTGTAGGAAATATCTCTCCAGGTGCAGATCCATGTCAAGGCTTGTGTTCATCACGTGCTCAGTGTGTGATTGGTCCTGGAGGCAGCCATGAGTGTAGCTGCTATCCTGGTTTGATAGATCAGAATCCTGTTAACCCTGGGAAGCTATGCAAAGGTACACTAACGTCCTCTGTATCTGTATCAATTCCTTACTTGAGTATCTTACACATACGTTACATTACATCTTCTTTCCATCAAAATGTGCCCACTTTAGATCCTGTCGACTGTTTTGATCAAGAAAATGACATTTGCTCATCCCAAAATCAATGTCTTCCGCCCAAGTTTCTCTGCTCATGTAAGTTCTGAAATCATACCAATTCTTCAGATCTCACATACGGTCTTCAGAGAAAGAGGAATCTCTAATACTGAGGCCTATTTCTGCCTTATTATAACAACTCTCTCTTCTTCCCTCCTACAGTGAGGAATGTTTTCAAATTAACAGCAGAGTTCAACTCTTGGATTTTCAATTCCTCTCTGTACGACCCAGTGAGCGACGCTTGGGCGTATGCCTCTACAAAGATCATAACAACTGTACGCAGATACACGCTCTGATTTGTAATTATTGTGATGTCTTACAAATGTCATCTTAAAACACTATGGTTTATTTTCTACAAGTACTTTTTTAAATAGATGTCTACTTTACTATCCTTTTCCCCCCAGGTTGTCCCCAAAATGCAGCGTGTTCTGTTAGATTCATCCTTTGACATGACAGTGGTGGGCTTCCAGAGGGGTAGTGTGGTGGTCAGGATGATGTGTGGTTTTAATGGGAATTCTACCACTGATGAAATAACTCTCCAGGCTGCTCTACAGGACACTCTCCGCAAACACCTGGACGACTCCGCCATAGCTACCTTGAAAAGTATGTTTAAAACATAGGAGTTTTTTTAAAAGAATTGGCATTACATGGTGATGGTGTTTGTTTTGTTCAATTAATATATGTGACTTGGTTGTGGTATGTACAGTGGGGAGAACAAGTATTTGATACACCGCCGATTTTGCAGGTTTTCCTACTTACAAAGCATGTAGAGGTCTGTAATTTTTATCATAGGTATGGGATGGGATGGGCTACAGGACAATAGGCAAGCAGCTTGGTGAGAAGGCAACAACTGTTGGCGCAATTATTAGAAAATGGAAGAAGTTCAAGATGACGGTCAATCACCCTCGGTCTGGGGCTCCATGCAAGATCTCACCTCGTGGGGCATCAATGATCATGAGGAAGGTGAGGGATGAGCCCAGAACTACACGGCAGGACCTGGTCAATGACCTGAAGAGAGCTGGGACCACAGTCTCAAAGAAAACCATTAGTAACACACTACGCCGTCATGGATTAAAACCCTGCAGCGCACGCAAGGGCCCCCTGCTCAAGCCAGCACATGTCCAGGCCCGTCTGAAGTTTGCCAATGACCATCTGGATGATCCAGAGGAGGAATGGGAGAAGGTCATGTGGTCTGATGAGACAAAAATAGAGCTTTTTGGTCTAAACTCCACTCGCCGTGTTTGGAGGAAGAAGAAGGATGAGTACAACCCCAAGAACACCATCCCAACCGTGAAGCATGGAGGTGGAAACATAATTCTTTGGGGATGCTTTTCTGCAAAGGGGACAGGACGACTGCACCGTATTGAGGGGAGGATGGATGGGGCCATGTATCGCGAGATCTTGGCCAACAACCTCCTTCCCTCAGTAAGAGCATTGAAGATGGGTCGTGGCTGGGTCTTCCAGCATGACAACGACCCGAAACACACAGCCAGGGCAACTAAGGAGTGGCTCCGTAAGAAGCATCTCAAGGTCCTGGAGTGGCCTAGCCAGTCTCCAGACCTGAACCCAATAGAAAATCTTTGGAGGGAGCTGAAAGTCCGTATTGCCCAGTGACAGCCCCGAAACCTGAAGGATCTGGAGAAGGTCTGTATGGAGGAGTGGGCCAAAATCCCTGCTGCAGTGTGTGCAAACCTGGTCAAGACCTACAGGAAATGTATGATCTCTGTAATTGCAAACAAATGTTTCTTTACCAAATATTAAGTTCTGCTTTTCTGATGTATCAAATACTTATGTCATGCAATAAAATGCAAATTAATTACTTAAAAATCATACAATGTGATTTTCTGGATTTTTGTTTTAGATTCCGTCTCTCACAGTTGAAGTGTACCTATGATAAAAAATTACAGACCTCTACATGCTTTGTAAGTAGGAAAACCTGCAAAATCGGCAGTGTATCAAATACTTGTTCTCCCCACTGTATGTGACTCAGGTTGTGGTTTCACTTATTTCTTCTATTTCATTTTGTGTGGGATACTGCTTATCTAATATTGTCCTTTCAATAGTTACTGATAGACATTGACCAAACATCTGTCTGTTCTCTGTAGGAGTTTCCCAGATATCAACGGCCCCAGGACAAGGCTGGAAAGTGGCGACCATAGTCCTGGGAGTTCTGCTGGGCTTCACTTTGATAGTCGTGGTTGTCGTTCTGATCATCACCATAGTGAGGAGAGCAGCTAGCAAGCTGACCACATATAACATAGAGCAAACAGAACACAACATACAAGCGGTGTCCAATGACTACTTACAAGGACGTTATTCTTACCAGGTGTAGTTCACAGATTCTTGAAAGACGCGATAATCTAAACTTTTTTTCACAAATATATTTCTTAATATTAACAAAAGTATCAGCTATCACACCATGTAAAGGAACACTTTAATTGCTTCATAAAATGCAACTAACTGGATTTATGTTAACTCCGTCAGACACCATAAAAGGCATTTCATTTTCACATTTATTGTTGAACAAGTGTTTAATAAAGGCCTTGATTGTTGAGTTCTAACATTAGATTATTCAGATATGTAATACAATCTCCAAACTTATTTTGTTTTATTTTAGCGCTATATAATGCTCCAGGGCTAATTCTGTTTTGGCATGACAGAGTTGACCAAATCTCCTGACAATTTTCTTCGAAATCACAGTTTTGAGAGAAATATTATTTAAAGTCAGAGAGGGCCATTGGAAGAAACTACATAATATATTTTTTCAGTTAATATTCATTATTGCCAGTTTTTTAAATTGTAAACCCTTTTTTGGAGCGTTTGAAATTGGGATCCTTTGCTCTGGACAAGGGCATTTCCGGGCATATAGTCAGCTAGACCTCTTTAGAGTGGACCTGGTGAATGTAGATTCAAATAATTAAATGTCACCTCTATTCTTATCAAAGGTGTACAGCATGGCGAGCTAGGTGCGTGCAGACACTTCTGGCCAAACAGGGGACACTGCATTAGGCATTTCCACTGCCGTCTCTGCTCCACCATTCAATATTTCACACAGCTCTCTCTCCAAATAGTGGCCCATAACAACTGAATTATTCAGGAGGTTTTACATCAGGATGACTGAATCACAGACAAACGACAGACACTGCATGTGTTCAGTCCTTCAATGGATTGGCTAGTAAGGCAATCAATTACTGTTTCCATTTTATAGCTGCCATTGTCTGAGGGCACCTTTTGTTAGTGGGACGCAAAGTCATTTGTTGACTTCCTGTTTAAGGGGCTGTTTGTATCTCAGAACTAATTCCTGATGATGGTTTTCTGTTCCTCATTTAACAATATTGGGAAGTGTTCCTTGTTTTACAAATTGTAATGCAATTTTTTTTCAAGTTGACATGTAAATGATATTCTACTTTAGGCCTATATGCTTAAATAATTGTAATTTGCCAGAATGTGAATTTCACTGTCATAAGAAAACTTTATTTTATCACCCAATGGGAAATAACAAAGCAACCAAACCATCTTCACTGGACCTTACATAATTCCTCTGAATCTTTAATGTCCACTAAAATAAAAAGAGGCAGTTTTGGTGCCCTCATTTTCCAATGGGTTTGGCAAGCTCTCACTCTGTCTCTGTAGCGTAATGAAAATCACAAATACCTCTACTGAAGGAGTCGGAAAGAGTGTCTATGGGCCAGTTCAAGGCTTCACGAGAGGTGCATTAACTAATACTGTACAACATTCAGATTCTGCTTCAACATTTTTAATCAGATCATTCAGAGCAAGCTAAGAATACAAGCACACAATCACAACACGTCTGCAGTATATGACATCATATTGTCATCATTTCACACGGTTTGAGTACATTCGCATCAAACTGACAGCATATAGATGAGAGAGTCATAGCACCGAGGTGTTGTGTGCTCAGCACGTTAGTTACTGTACTGGGGGGCAGGCGCTAGGAGCCGGCGGGCTGCGGAGGTCTAACTCACGGGCTGGAACCCTGACAGGCAGCAGAGAGCAGGGTGGTCTGGGGGTACAATAGACAATAGCAGACACACAGCAGCGCATGGGAGGAGGACTGCCACATACTGTAACATACTGGCGGACTGCAGGTGCACAGACATAAGAGAGACAGGGTGAGAGTAGCAGTCACACTCACTATGAATAGATGTGATACCAATGGTTCCAGACAGGCAGCTGCATGTTCCAAAAAGCGATTTTGATCTTCTAATCCTGGCCCACTCCTTATCTTTTTACACCTAACTACTGAGCCCATTGAAGAAAGTGGAGGTGATTGAGTATATACAATAGGTTAACCTATTTCCTATATCTTACATATGCCAACTTTTAACATTATACATGGTTTTGCACACCAATAGCATCACAGCTTTGTAATGGATAAAATAATGACATATCATTAAAGAGGGGTGTATTATCAGAAATATATCAGTTTTCATACTGTATCAAATAACTGGAAAGTGGACGAAGTGGTTCTCACATTGAAGAAGGCAGTAGAACCATGTGTATGAAGGCAGAACTACAAAGCTGGTGGGTTTACATAACAGTTACAATAGGCACTACAGTACTAAGTGCTATCTTTTGTACTGTAAGTTAGTGACAGTTTTCTTGTTTGTTTGTGTAGATACTTATGGTATGAGATCAAACTATCACTACACATGCAGTAATTCTGAAAATGGTTTGCCCCCTTTGATTTCTCATGAATGATTTGAATTACAAGCTAGATTGTGACCGTGAGAATAGGATACTTGAATGCTACTATACAACCAGAAAGAGGGCCTTGCATGCAAGCTGTAGAAATGACATTCCAGTTCAGTTGGTTTCTTAGCAACCAAATTGATGAAACCAGATATCCTCAAGAGCAATTAAATTAAATCTAGGTCCAAAGAGTGGAGTCACTGTAACCAGGAAACGCTACAGTAATTAAGATTTTATATCTGCAGAGTTCACATAGTCAATGCAGTCTAAGAGATCGAAAAGAAGAACATAGAGAATCCATCATCAGTATGATGATAGGTAGTCAGACAAAAAAGCTAAACCTCTCACTGCCTTCAACAGCCGTTTAAGAGCCATATACTGTTCTCTACGTACAGTGTATCAATGGCTCTCTGTTTAAGAATGTTTTTCTTTCTACAAAGGATTGACAAATGCAACAAAATAACGTGCAAAAAATGTGCTGAACTTTTAATAGAGAGAGGAAGTGCACACTCGCACACATGCGCACACACGCAACCGCGCGCACACAGACACACGCAAAGCATTATAGTTCAACGACAGCATGGTGAAGACGTCAAAATGTCAACTTAAAAGCTCCACATCTAGTGAGTATACACAGAGATGAGGAACAGGAAGGAAAAGACAGAGAGAAAGAGATAGACCAAATGGATGAGAGTCCCCTAATTCATTAGGCAGCCTTAAATTCCCTAAATAAAGTAGTGCAGAGATGTTTTGTTTTTACTTTTTTGCCTCAGCCAGTCTATTGCTTATCTCTTTGCTCTTCTTTGAGATAACGCCTCCCTCTGGTTTGGTCTCGTCTGGCTTGGTGCTCGTGGAGGTTTTCTTCTTGGTTGACAGTGCACCAGCGATGGTCTTCTCTTTCGCCTTTTTCACCATTTTGCTCGTTGTTGTTGATATCTTTTTTGGTTTGGTTTTTGTCTTGTCCACCTATAGAGAGAGAGATGAGGGAATTTTGTACTTGACATCCTCCTAAAACTATAGGTAAACTACGCAGCCAAAATGTCATCAGTCCAGGTTACAGTATCATCTTTGGACTGATACTGTATGCTACAATGATACAAAGAGCTCATGAATCTCTAAGGTGAACACTGGCAATTCATTTCCTGGAGATGTTACAGTAAATCTTTATTCGGAGCATGCAATACATACCTTCCTGTTACTAACATCAAATAAAAATAAAATAGCAAATGTCACCATGTTGTTGGTAATATTTGCAATGCGTGGTTGTGCACTTACGATGAAAGAAAACCACTTGTGTCCATTGGAACAAAATCTCTGTTTAGAAAAACACATTTAATTTCCATCCTGAAGGTTGTGTCTAAAATACAAACTTACAGTATAAAGTTGGGGTTAGTATATGAACAGTTAATTTAATATGCACAATCTTATTCCCTTTCCCTTGGATGAGACTATATTTTTGGTCATATTCAACGAATTAGGTTTTTTTGTAAATAAAATTGTGCTATTTTCCCTTTGTATAAGGTGCCTCTTATGACACCAATCAAACCAAAGGATTGAGAGTTGAAATGTCATGCAAAATAATACATTCATTTAATGAATCCAAGCTCTCTTGGTGGTCTTGAGAGAGGCAGTGCAAACTCTGAGGATGTGGCTGACAGCTTTGCAGAAAGATTGAATTGTCTGGCAGTTTGGTGGCTAATGTGACCCTAGTCCTGTTGGGTAAGGTGCATTAATCAAGGTGTGAGTTAATCTGAGGTCAACCTCCATGCCTTCTAGAAGAAATTGACAACACACCTGACTACAGCAGATCTAGAATAGAGCTGCTCTCAGTCTCAGAACAGTCCTACAAGAGTGAGAAAGGGAGGGGCCATATAAACATAGCATGCAGACACATGAGACATTCCTACCGCTCACAAACATGCATGTGGAGATTTAATTAACTCTGATTGATTACATTAGTTTTGTGATGTGCTAATGCTTATCTTAATTTTGTAGTTTAGAAAGTTATTCTGGGATTTTACACTGTACAATATTACATGGAACAGGCTACAGTAATGCTTGTAATATGTTGAATTTCCTATTCAAATTTAATGATCTCAATTGTTATTACTGTAGCACATAAATCAAAATAGTATATTGCTTGAAGGAGAACATATACATGAAAACAACCATGTCCTATGTAACTAATGCAATTTGAAGTTTAATTTGCATTATTTGGATTCATCCTAATTTTCACTGAGACATGAACATGAATTGGCCCGTCACAGCAACGGGTTGAAAAACTCAAAATTGAACATGTATTTTGTGCAATTAGATACACATTTTAACATAAAAAAGTCAGTGTTCATTGTCACATGCATGTTGATGTGGGCTCACCTTGGTGGTCTCCTTGCCGCCCGGCTCGTTGTACAGGCTGCGTATCCTCCTGCGCTCCAGCAGCTTGTTGTCAGTGGGCTGCACCTTAGCCTGCTCCCCCTTGTAGGTGGCGCTGTAGCTGGTCTCCAGGCTGGTCTTGTCCTTGTCATCCACAGGCGGTTTGTACTGAAACTGGGGCTTGGTTGACTTCACTGGTTTCACGTCTTTGTACGCCTTGAACTCATTCCTGAAAAACAATGAATCAGAAAACTCAGCATTAGTTCCACTGTTCATCATCAAACAAATCACTTAGTTGTATTATGAATCCCAGACAAATATTGTTGTTGCCCAAAATCTTTGGGAGGAAATGGACTGAAATGACTCATCAGATTTACAGCCGAAGTGTACACAGGGAGGGTAGCATTACTCGTTAGTCACTTTACTCCCCATTTCAGTAACTACAACACAGAGCTTCTGCTTCCTTTCACCCACAGTCGACAACTGCAAAGCTCTCTACACATTTTACACAAAAACGAATTGACCTTGCAGTCAAAAACTAGGGAAACAAATGAGGGAGAGCCACTCCAGAGAGGCCTTAGGGATATGTTGAGAACAGTAGATATAATTATATCCAGAGCTCCTTTACTGCCTTGGCACTGACATGATGTGCTACTGTATTGATCTGGTAACACCATAGAGGAGGATGAAACTGGGGAAAATCAATGCTGCAGCAGATATCTATGACAATATTAGTCTGATCATCAAGAACATTTAGGATGAATCTAGAAGAAAACTGACATGTACAGTTCATGATGGAGAGGTAGTGTGGGCTTTCTTGAGTAGATTATAAAGCCCAGTAGGGATGATGTGTGTTTTATTGTCAATAGACTGAAGGCTACATGCATCTTGGCTTTGCTACTGCTAGTACAGTAACTACCAAAAATGCATGCATCAATTGTTAATCAATTGTATTTAAATGTTGTGCACAATATGTTCTTAGCTTACCAACATGTGCACAACATTTAAATACAATTGATTAATAATTGATGCATGTATTTTGGTAGTTACTGTAATGATATATTAAGATGTTGTGTAATAAATTGTACACTGAGTATTTTCTAAGCAACACAAAATATTGTGTTAGGCCTTCTTATTAAAATACTTTTGGCCTCCACAATAAAGTTATTTGTGGCCTACATTCCACGTTTAATATATGGTTGATATATTTAAACTGTGAAAAAAATTATATTTCAGAGGCAGAAAATGTGTGCATAATGTAATTCAATAATAAACATTCAATGAAAATACATATTCCCACTGTAACCAGATTCTCACCTATAAGAGCTGCCAGTGCCAGTTGAGACGACCTGTTTTATCTGTCTGTTCAGCGCGTCTGCTGCCGCCCTTCCTTTCCCCTCCACAGTGACATCTGCCGGTGGCTGTCCCTCCATTTTGGCACTCACTTTCTTCTCTACAGTCTTCTCCTTCTTCACTGGTTTCTTTTTCCTCTCTTTGGATTCTTTCTCTTGCACCTTTTCTTCAATTTCACTCTTCTCCACACCGCTCTCGGTCTCTGTGGATGCATGCTCCAATTTGGTCCCCACACCTCCTTCTTGTGCACCGGAGGAGGCAGTTGGGCTGGGTTTGGGGATCCAGGGGTGGTCTCCCTTTTTCGGGACAGGCCATGGCTTATAATCCTTCTGATACTGGGTTACGTTGTTGAAAGGGGTCGCCGAGGGGTGATATTCATTCTTGGGTTTGCAGCTGGGCTCCGGGCGTATATCTTTCCATTCCCTGAAATCCTGGCGCATCACGGACGCACTACAGGCATGTTTTCCTGATGCGGCACCAGTCGCGGGCGGTGCCTTGGCCGCCGCCGCCTCCTGTTCACTGTGAGAAGGCTGGGTTTCTATGGTGATGGGGCCGGTCCTCTTCTGTCTAGATGGAGGCTGAGGATGGAGGTGTTGCACCTCGGCCACATCCGAATATTTCGTGAAAACCAAAGGCACGGCGATATCCGCTTTGTCTAACTCACTCCAGAAGCGGTTAATGCAGCAAGCCCGTGTGATGCACGGCCAGGCCATAATCAACGATGGATATATAATAACCTATGCACTTAAAATCTGAATCAAAGTGTTAGGCTACTGATGAGAGAGTCCTGAATGAACGTCCTACTCACGGACCCGAGACGGGGAAATGATGCTCCCTGCGCCCACTCAAATTCTGTCCAGTCAGGAAAATGTACGTGTCTACCTATGTCTCTTTTTTTCAGAAATCCTACGATGCTTACTAGATGGTTACAAATTGAAGAGCCTTATAATACAAATTAGCAAAGTAAGCTACTAGTTCTGCACAGCTAATATAATTTAAGTTGAAATAGACTGAATTTGGTGTGTGGAGCCCATTGCATTCGCGGTCTGGATCGGCTTAATTGTTGCGCATCAGAGGGACCCCACCCCGCTACGTTTCAGAAACCTCAGAAGATGCCCGGGGTCTGCACGGTGAACTGTCACCTGGGTCCGTCACCGTCTAGGCCGCAAAGAGGGAGGAGACGCTGCCTGGTTAACCCTCCCTTTCCCGTGGATGATGTACAGACAAGGCGGACCTCGGCCTAGTGTACAGTATAGCCTACCTCTGCACTCACATACTATAGATTATAATGTATGGTGGGAGATGGACAGTTAACTGCCAAAATAATATAAAAACGTGAGTATAAATTAGGGATACAAAGTATATTGAATGCAGGTGCTTCCACACAGGTGTGGTTCCTGAGTAAATTAAGCAATTAAAACCATCATGCTTAGGGTCATGTATAACATTTTTTGGCAGACCATTATTTTGGCCATTATTTTGGCTACTGTGGCTATGCCCCCATAGGATGACAATGCCCCCATCCACAGGACATGAGTGGTCACTGAATGGTTTGATTATGAACAACATATGGGGTGGCAGGTAGCTTAGTGGGTAAGAGCGTTGTGCCAGTAACCGAAAGGTCGCTGGTTCTAATCCCCGAGCCGACTAGGTGAAAAATCTGTCGATGTGCCCTTAAATCGCATCCCTCCAGACACTTGTTGAATCTATGCCAAGGTGAATGGAAGCTGTTCTGGCTCGTGATGAGCCAACACCCTATTAAGACACTTCATATTGGTGTTTCCTTTATTTTGGCAGTTACCTGTATATCTATAGCCTAAAGCTCTGTGAGTAGGCTTTAGCTATAGCATCAATACTGAATAATTATGAGTAGACCTATGGTGCTTGAGGGTAGTGGGGTGTGATTCAGTGTGAGTAGGCCTACTTTATTGAGTATGTGAAGGTCACAAATATCAGTCACAGAGACACTGTTGGGAACAAACCCAGAAACACAGAGGGATGTAAAAGCTACAAACAGTTGGAACAACCAGTACATTATTAAAAACATCTACACATGGCTGAGAGATAGTAACACCAATCATAATGGAGGACATATTAGATAGGCTGGTGAGAGGGTACATTTCACAATTGTTTGGGTTTCATATAATGTGAGAAGTTATCTGATGAGCCAATATGAGGCTTATAATGCATTTAGGCATTTTGTTTCCATCAATGAGACTAGAAGTGGCATTGATGGATAGCCTACCTGTCCTTGCTCATTATATCAAATCAAATAACATTATATTGGTCACATACACATATTTAGCAGATGTTATTGTGGGTGTAGCGAAATGCTTGTGTTCCTAACTCCAACAGTGCAGTAGTATCTAACAATTCACAACAATTCACACAAATCTAAAAGTAAAAGAATGGAATTAAATGTATAAATATAAATATTAGGATGAGCAATGACAGAATGTTTAAATCTGTACATTAGGTAAGGAACATTTGGCAATATACTTCAGTTGGCAATATTTATTCTATTATACTTGATTCACAGAAGACTCCTTTTAAATGTGTACAGTATGCAAGATATACATTTTCACATTTATTTTCACCATGATTCATTCATTGTTTCAATGTGGGGTCAAGGTTTCCTTTTTCAAGCAAAAATGTTAAGATTACAGGATCATTGCAAAAACAAAGACGTGCTTTGTGAAGCTACAATAGCTGTTATGAGCCAAGGACAGTCTCTGAGATACATTGTCTCAAAGCGCTTTAATGGAATCTCTCACCCTATGACTACCATTGGATTTTCCCAGCTTGTGTATCTGTTCAGTTCGATTTTGACGTCATGGTCCATGGACTGATTGCTTAAGTAAACACATTTGTCCAATCAAATAAAAATATATTTACTTTTCTATTCGATTTTGCTAACATTTCCTTTATTAGTTGACAATCATCATTGACACACAATTCATCCCTTGCTTCAACCTTGTCTCAGAGCATTTCATATTATTCTGTACGTAAATCCGAGACACTCCGTTTAGTATGATATGTAATGTTTTGTATGGTATGTATTCATTTGTGGATGTCCATCACCCATTCCGTATAATAAGTTATGAATTTGCCAAACGTACAATATTTTGCGAATTTGCAAATGTGTAATATGTTACGAATTCAAGCTAGGTGGCTAGGTGGCTAATGTTAGCTAGGCTAGGGGTTACGGTTAGGGTTAAGGTTAGGGTTACATTTATGAGTTAGGTTAAAGGGTTAAGGTTAAGGTTAGGGAAAGGTGAAGGGTTAGCTAAAAAGGTTAAGGTTAGGGTTAGGTGAAGGGTTAGCTAAAAGGTTTAAGGTTAGGGTTAGCTAATATGCTAAGTAGTTGCAAAGTAGCTAAAAAGTAGTAAGTAGTTGAAAAGTTGCTAATTAGCTAAAGTTGTCCATGATGAGATTCAAACTCGCAACCTTTGGGTTGCTAGACGTTCGCATTATACGACCACCCATCCACCCTGACCAACCACCCTACTTTCGTTTTTGCCTTAAGTAACCATCTGTCATATGTAACCATACCAAACGCAACATATCATACTAATTTGAGTGTCCCCGATTTATGCTTACTATGTTACGCCTAGTCTATGAGACCAGACTGATGGCTTATGTAGCTTATAAATGCATGTAATATGACTAAAGAGAGGCAACATAGCCCAGTTGGGGCTTTTGACATAATGAAACAGATAATATTCAAGGACAATGTTCAGATATCCCCTGCAATAATAAAGAGAGTACACAATGCTCTCTGTGACAGTCACAGCACCCTTCACACTGTCGCCCCTCCTTTGAGGGGTATAAACTTGTTCAACCAAGTGTGAGAGAGCACTGATGTCATGGGTTGTAATAGAGATCACTAGTTTTATTGCCCATTGACAGTTAACATTTTTGGCTTTCTATGTTCAATATTGTAGTTATGAAGACAATACTTGCGGCATACATTGGTGTCTTGCGAGGTAAGATCATTTTTACAGGGTGCAATAAATCCATTCCAGTATCTTCACTCTTAATTAAGTTTGGTTTATTTCTTTCACAAACTGTGTTGAATATTGTTACATATTTTGTGTACTTTTCAAGTTCCCATAAATAGAATCTGATTGCATTTTAAGTAGCAAAGTGTTGACATTTAACTTAATCAATCCTAATGTGATGTGTTCCAGGCACTGGCTCCATCATCCTGTCGGCCCTGCAGTCCCTGCTCTCAGTGCGCTGGGCCTGGTGCCCCAGGCTGGAGAAGCAGGTCCAGGTCTTCTCTGTCATGCAGTTCATTGCCTCCTTTCTCATCATGGGTGAGATTCTCTGCTGAGCTCTATACACCACTGTCAAATGGCTAAAGCACTGGATTTTTGATTTTTACTGTTGCGTACTAGAGGGCATAAACACGGCACCACAGTGTTAATGGGTTGCACAACCTCGAACTGGCTATGACACACCACAAATAGTAAATTATGATTCTCAAACTTGTGTGCTTTTTGTATACATTTTTGTATTTTTACAGATTCTAAAATACAATAGGATGTTTGTCAATGCAAAGTGCATCTGGGTTTCATCCCCTTGCCTCTCTGTGTTGGACCAGGTCCTATATGCTCTGTGGTGATGCTGTACCTCCTCTGGACTGACTACTGGTGGGTCACAGCCTCATACACCACCTGGCTATTCTATGATTGGAACACACACAAACAAGGCAAGCTAAACGCTACATTACAGCCTTTCAGAGAATACAGCTGGAGTAGGGCACTGGTTGTTCTTCAGACTTACTGTAGCTTTTTGTTGATGATATGGTGTGTTGACTCCTAGCTGGCCGAAGGTTCTCGTGGGTGAGGAACTGGACAGTGTGGACCCACTACCGAGACTACTTCCCTATCCGAGTGAGTGATAGTAACTGCACACTGATTTGTCACATTCCAAGGGCAAATTAACTGTGGTTAAAGCCAATATTTGATATTTAGTTTAATTTCATATTTAACAATCTTGTGACTTCAGCTTATCAAGACTCACAACTTGTTGACCAATCGAAACTATGTCCTTGGCTACCACCCACATGGAATCTTTTGTTTTGGAGCACTTTGTAACTTTGCGACAGAGGCCAATGGTTTTTCAGCTAAATTCCCTGGAATAACACCATTTGTGGCTACCCTGGCTGGGAACTTCCACATGCCATTAGCCAGAGAGTACCTGATGTCTGCAGGTGAGGACACTGGTCTCTGGTTAGTCTCAACCCATATTAAAATAATGAGTGATTGTTCGTAACGTGAACATACATTGTAGATGAATTTCCCTTCAAGGACAGTAAAGATTTCATTTATAGATATGATTGAGTAGTTCCGTAAATGTTGGTCCTAAAAAGTGATTCATTATTATTATTCAGGGATTTGTCCTGTGAATCGCGCCACACTGGAGTTCATTCTGTCATGTAATGGGACAGGGAATGCAGTCGTTATTACTGTTGGAGGGGCAGCTGAGTCTCTGGACTGTACTCCAGGAGTTCATTGTATCACCCTAAAGAACCGCAAGGGCTTTGTGAAACTGGCTCTGCAACAAGGGTGAGTCCCCATGGTATACACAAATGATCCACACCAGAAAGCTACATTTATTCAAGCAGATACACTTTGAACAGACTGTCAAACTAATCATCTGGAGGTGAGACTGACTATGTTGTGTTGTGTCTTATTGTGTTATTGTCTACCAGGGCTGACCTGGTGCCTGTGTACTCGTTTGGGGAGAATGATGTGTATAAGCAGCTGATACTGGATGAGGGATCGTGGTGGAGGCTGATCCAGAGGAGACTACAGAAGATCCTGGGCTTTGCTCCCTGTGTATTTCAGGGCCGGGGCCTCTTCTCCCCTGACACCTGGGGCCTGTTTCCCTACTCCAAACCTATCAACTCAGTTGGTAAGCTTACCATATTCCCTAGAAATACTAGGGGTCTTCTGTAAAGTTATTTATATGTAATTACCATTTGATCATATCATTTGTTAGTAATTTCTGTTCACCTAAAACAAAGTGCCATTAAGTTATGAATGTGGAGAATGGCCTTGGATCTAATCTATACTGAACAAAAATCTAATGCAACATGAAAAGTGTTAGTCCCATGTTTCATGAGCTGAAATAAAAGATCCCAGAAATGTTCCATACACACAAAAAGCTTATTTCTCTCAAATTTTGTGCACAAAATTGTTTACATCCCTGTTAGTGAGCATTTCTCCTTTGCCAAGATAATCCATCCACCTGACAGGTGTGGCATATCAAGAAGCTGATTAAACAGCATGATCGTTACACAGGTGCACCTTGTGCTGGGAACAATAAAAGGCCACTCTAAAATGTGCAGTTTTGTCAATTAGGGCCTAATTAATTTATTTCAATTGACTGATTTCTTTCTATGAATTGTAACTCAGTAAAATCTTTGAAGTTGTTGCATGTTGCATTTATATTATTGTTCAGTATAGAATTCAAGTCCATTTTTATCTATTCTAGAGTGAGGAACACTGAGACTGCCATCTGGTTAGAAAATGATTTTGCCTTTCAGTTGGAAAACCCATGGAGATGCCCAAGATCAGTTCACCCAGCCAAGAAGAAGTGGATCATTACCACACCATGTACATGAGCTCCCTTACACAGCTCTTTGACAAGCACAAGACCCACTTTGGGCTGAGGGAGGAGGATGTACTGGTGATTCACTGAGGAGTGGTCATACCCTGGACGGGTCAGACACAAGCACTACTCTTTGGCTGCTCCAGATAGCCCTTGTACATAATGACTGAAGCTGTGACTAACAGAACAATCTCACAGGTCAAAGGCTACCTGTCAAGACAGACAGAAACACAATAGACAGAAATGCTGCCGGTTCTTTTCTAGGATAGTCACTAGGTGAAGTGTCCTGGGTTGTTTGTTGTTTCCTGTCTGGAACCATAGCCTGCTGTAACACATTTTATGCATTATTGCTCTCATCACGTTCACTTTAATATAACCACCAGGGGGCAGCATATTTCTCTCAACGTATGGTTCTGCTGAAACAAATAAAACAGAATGTGTATTTTAAATCCATAATATATATTTTTTTAAATCAGAACTGGGTTGTTTTGGGGCATTTTCCAAAGATATTTGAGAGAGAATATTGTGATGTCAAATCTTTGCTGTATTTGTCTTAACAAGTCACTTTCATGGTCACACAGGGGTGTCTTCACTACAGTGAACGAACGAACGTATGCCAGCTATTCAAACCTTTTGTAAAGTAGGCATGCATTATCATGTATTATTAGTTGCTTGTATGTTTTAATATAACTATTCAGTGGTTCAGTGTGTATATTTAAAAGAATATATTGTTCAGAGAGAGACTATTTATCTAAATTCAATTTTTCCACATAATAACAAGTGAGGTTCAATATGTAGCTACCACATTATCATAATCTGAGACTATCTGTTCACATAACAATGATAAAAATGTAGGTCTTAATAAAACATATTCACACTATAACATTCCCCCTTTATTTTAGAAGGGCATTGAACAAGAAAAACATGAAACTGTCTTCACACTACATGTCTTTTCCTTCTTTAAAATGGTAATAAAGTATGAATTCCATAATTTCTCAGTGGTGCCCTCTGATGTTATTGATCATAGTTTGAATCACTAAGCCACTAAGCCCTCACTGAAAGCCCTGAATCTGCCTGTCAGTCAGTGCAGTGGTGCCCAGCCCTTCATCCATCATGTGCATCTGTTGATGGTTTAATGTGTTTGTTACCACAGCTTAACAAGATACAGTAAGTCACCATATTGACTTTCAGTTGCTTCTCAAACATATGCTTATTAAACGTTTGATATCTTTGTCTGTTCATTGTTAAGAACTGATGCCTTCGAGCCATTCACCCTGTAATTGTTGTTGCTTTAATGTTCTGGATTTTACGGCTAAACGATCAAAATGTGGATAAACAAAATACTTTATAGTAGTATCATAAAGTTGGGTTGACACCGAATCTTGAAAGTGAACCAACAAATGAAATGCATTTTTATGAGACAAACAGCTGTAGAATACATTATTAACATGTCATGTATATTGGCATGATTATTTCCCCCCAAAAAATTATGTCTCTTGCCTTTACATCTCACCAAAATGAACGTGTTTTATTTTATTTTTATTTATTTTTATTTCACCTTTATTTAACCAGGTAAACCAGTTGAGAACAAGTTCTCATTTACAACTGCGACCTGGCCAAGATAAAGCAAAGCAGTGCGATAAAAACAACAACACAGAGTTACATATGGGGTAAAACAAAACAAAATCAAAAATACAACAGAAATACAATTAATATACAGTGTGCAAATTTAGCAAGTTATGGAGGTAAGGCAATAAAATAGGCTATAGTGCAAAATAATTACAATTTAGTATTAACACTGGAATGATGTGCAAGAGATGATGTGCAAATAGAGATACTGGGGTACAAATGAGCAAAATAAATAACAATATAGGGATGAGGTAGTTGGGCGGGCTAATTTCAGATGGGCTGTGTACAGGTGCAGTGATCGGTAAGGTGCTCTGACAACTGATGCTTAAAGTTAGTGAGGGAGCTAAGTGTCTCCAGCTTCAGAGATTTTTGCAATTTGTTCCAGTCATTGGCAGCAGAGAACTGGAAGGAATTGCGGCCAAAGGAGGTGTTGGCTTTGGGGATGACCAGTGAGATATACCCGCTGGAGCGCAGACTACGGGTGGGTGTTGCTATGGTGACCAATGAGCTAAGATAAGGCGGGGATTTGCCTAGCAGTGATTTATAGATGGCCTGGAGCCAGTGGGTTTGGCGACGAATATGTAGTGAGGACCAGCCAACAAGAGCGTACAGGTCACAGTGGTGGGTATTATATGGGGCTTTGGAGACAAAACGGATGGCACTGTGATAGACAACATCCAATTTGCTGAGTAGAGTGTTGGAGGCTATTTTGTAAATGACATCGCCGAAGTCAAGGATCGGTAGGATAGTCAGTTTTACGAGGGCATGTTTGGCAGCATGAGTGAAGGAGGCTTTGTTGCGAAATAGGAAACCGATTCTAGATTTAACTTTGGATTGGAGATTCTTAATGTGAGTCTGGAAGGAGAGTTTACAGTCTAACCAGACACCTAGATATTTGTAGTTGTCCACGTACTCTAGGTCAGACCCGTCTAGAGTAGTGATTCTAGTCGGGTGGGCGGGTGCAAGCAGCGTTCGGTTGAAGAGCATGCATTTAGTTTTACTAGTGTTTAAGAGCAGTTGGAGGCTACTGAAGGAGTGTTGTATGGAATTGAAGCTCGTTTGGAGGTTTGTTAACACAGTGTCCAATGAAGGGCCAGATGTATACAAAATGGTGTCGTCTGCGTAGAGGTGGATCTGAGAGTCACCAGCAGCAAGAGCGACGTCATTGATATACACAGAGAAAAGAGTTGGCCCAAGAATTGAACCCTGTGGCACCCCCATAGAGACTGCCATAGGTCCAGACAACAGGCCCTCCGATTTGACACATTGAACTCTATCTGAGAAGTAGTTGGTGAACCAGGCGAGGCAGTCATTTGAGAAACCAAGGCTATTTAGTCTGCCAATAAGAATGCGGTGGTTGACAGAGTCGAAAGCCTTGGCCAGGTCAATGAAAACGGCTGCACAGTACTGTCTATTATCGATCGCGGTTATAATATCATTTAGGACCTTGAGAGTGGCTGAAGTGCACCCATGACCAGCTCGGAAACCGGATTGCATAGCGGAGAAGGTACGGTGGGATTCGAAATGGTCGGTGATCTGTTTGTTGACTTGGCTTTCAAAAACTTTTGAAAGGCAGGGCAGGATGGATATGGGTCTGTAACAGTTTGGATCTAGAGTGTCACCCCCTTTGAAGAGGGGGATGACCGCGGCAGCTTTCCAATCTCTGGGGATCTCAGACGTTACGAAAGAGAGGTTGAACAGGCTAGTAATAGGGGTTGCGACAATTTCGGCGGCTAGTTTTAATTTGATTGTTGCAGGAGATTTATTTGCACTTACAGTAAAAAAATATATATATTATGACATGGGTCCAATCGACAAGTTTAACATAAATATATATTTGTCTGTGTGCCAGTGGTAGTTGTGAAGGAGGTGTTGTTTTGAACCTTGTTTCTAAAGCAATATGAGAAATTATAGTAAGAAACATAACACTCTCCAAATCTAACTTTCCAGCATGTCCTAAAAAAATTGGTATTTATCCTTAAACAATGGCTTCCTTTCATTCAAACTCAAGCATTTAATAGCAGGAACTAGGGCAAGATACTCTAAATGGGTTTATCAGATTAATCTAAAATGTATTTTTATTGGTTGAACCAGTTTTTTTCAATCACTTTGGTACAATTTTCACAAGTTTGTGGTACATGTTCACAACTCTAAGCACAAAAATTAAAACAGATAATCAAAATGGCTCATGTTTCTAAACTCTAAGCGCATTTTCAATTGACTGAGTAAAACAAACAAATTCACAAAGTCACTTGTTCACTGCACCAAATCACTCTTTCAATTTGGATAAATATTTTAAGTATCTGCTTTTCAAAATGCAATATTCACTTTTCATTTTCTTGTCATTTGTTAACAATACAATTAACTATAACTACAGAACCAAAATTATGTAGTGCCTAGTTAACATATATACAGTTGAAGTCGGAGGTTTACATACACCTTAGCCAATTACATTTAAACTCAGTTTTTCACAATTCCTGACATTTAATCCTAGTAGAAATTCCCTGTTTTAGGTCAGTTAAGATCACCACTTTATTTTAAGAATGTGAAATGTCAGAATGATAGTAGAGATAATTATTTATTTAAGCTTTTATTTCTTTCATCACATTCCCAGTGGGTCAGAAGTTTACATACACTCAATTAGTATTTGGTAGCATTGCCTTTAAATTGTTTAACATGGGTCAAACGTTTCGGGTAGCCTTCCACAAGCTTCCCACAATAAGTTGGGTGAATTTTGGCCCATTTCTCCTGACAGAGCTGGTGTAACTGAGTCAGGTTTGTAGGCCTCCTTGCTCGCACACACTTTTTCAGTTCTGCCCACAAATGTTCTATAGGATTGAGGTCAGGGCTTTGTGATGGCCACTCCAATACCTTGACTTTGTTGTCCTTAAGCCATTTTGCCACAACTTTGGAAGTATGCTTGGGGTCATTGTCCATTTGGAAGACCCATTTGCGACCAAGGCTTTAACTTCCTGACTGATGTCTTGAGATGTTGCTTCAATATATCCACATAATTTTCTTTCCTCATGATGCCATCTATCTTGTGAAGTGCACCAGTCCCTCCTGCAGAAAAGCACCCCCACAGCATGATGCTGCCACCCTCGTGCTTCATGGTAGGGATGGTGTTCTTCGGCTTGCAAGCAACCCTCTGTTTCCTCCAGCATCTTCAAAAGGTCCTTTGCTGTTGTTCTGGGATTGATTTGCACTTTTCGCACCAAAGTACATTCATCTCTAGGAGACAGAACTCGTCTCCTTCCTGAGCGGTATGACGGCTGCGTGGTCCCATGGTATTTATACTTGCGTACTATTGTTTGTACAGATGAACGTGGTAACTTCAGGCGTTTGGAAATTGCTCCCAAGGATGAACCAGACTTTTTTTCTGAGGTCTTGGCTGATTTCTTTTGATTTTCCCATGATGTTAATCAAAGAGGAACTGAGTTTGAAGGTAGGCCTTGAAATACATCCACAGGTACACCTCCAATTGACTCAAATGATGTCAATTAGCCTATCAGAAGCTTCGAAAGCCATGACATCATTTTCTGGAATTTTCCAAGCTGTTTAAAGGCACAGTCAACTTAGTGTATGTAAACTTCTGACCCACTAGAATTGTGATACAGTGAATTATAAGTGAAATAATCTGTCTGTAAACAATTGTTGGAAAAGTTACTTGTGTCATGCACAAAGTAGATGTCCTAACCGACTTGCCAAAACTATAGTTTGTTAACAAGAAATGTGTGGAGTGGTTGAAAAACAAGTTTTAATGACTCCAACCTAAGTGTATGTAAACTTCCGACTTCAACTGTAAATGCCAAAAATAAGGTCTGAGTTTAACACAGTGTTATGAGATATTTTGTTCTATTAGATGATATCAGTCCGTTAACATGACCTTTATGATCTTATTTTCTGTGTTTATATAAAAAAAACTGCATTTATTTCCCCATAGGCTTTGTCCAACGAACCATGGCAGAATTAGTGCCTACAAAAAGACGCCATTACTAGGCCTATGGCTCTCTTTCGGGATGGCGATATGTACAGTCGTGGTCAAAAGTTTTGAATGACACAAATACTAATTTTCACAAAGTCTGCAGCCTCAGTTTTGATGATGGCAATTTGCATATACTCCAGAATGTCATGAAGAGTGATCAGATGAATTGCAATTAATTGCAAAGTCCCTCTTTGCCATGAAAATGAACTTAATCCCAAAAACACATTTCAGCCCTGCCACAAAAGGACCAGCTGCCATCATGTCAGTGATTCTCTTGTTAACACAGGTGAGAGTGTTGACGAGGACAAGGCTGGAGATCACTCTGTCATGCTTATTGAGTTAGAATAACAGACTGGAAGCTTTAAAAGGAGGGTGGTGCTTGAAATCATTGTTCTTCCTCTGTTAACCGTGGTTACCTGCAAGGAAACACGTGCCGTCATCATTGCTTTGCACAAAAAGGGCTTTACAGGCAAGGATATTGCTGCTAGTAAGATTGCACCTAAATCAACCGTTTATCGGATCATCAAGAACTTCAAGGAGAGAGGTTCAATTGTTGTGAAGAAGGCGTCAGGGCGCCCAAGAAAGTCCAGCAAGCGCCAGGACCGTCTCCTAAAGTTGATTCAGCTGCGGAATCGGGGCACCACCAGTGCAGAGCTTGCTCAGGAATGGCAGCAGACAGGTGTGAGTGCATCTGCACGCACAGTGAGGCGAAGACTTTTGGAGGATGGCCTGGTGTCAAGAAGGGCAGCAAAGAAGCCACTTCTCTCCAGGAAAAACATCAGGGACAGACTGATATTCTGCAAAAGGTACAGAGATTGGACTGCTGAGGACTGGGGTAAAGTCATTTTCTCTGATTAATCCCCTTCCGATTGTTTGTGGCATCCGGAAAACACCTTGTCCGGAGAAGACAAGGTGAGCGCTACCATCTGTCATGTCTCATGCCTACAGTAAAGCATCCTGAGACCATTCATGTGTGGGGTTGCTTCTCAGCCAAGGGAGTGGGCTCACTCACATTTTTGCCTAAGAACACAGCCATGAATAAATAATGGTACCAACACATCCTCTGAGAGCAACTTCTCCCAACCATCCAAGAACAGTTTGGTGACGACCAATGCCTTTTCCAGCATGATGGAGCACATTGCCATAAGGCAAAAGTGATAACTAAGTGGCTCGGGGAACAAAACATCAACATTTTGGGTCCATGGCCAGGAAACTCCCCAGACCTTAATCCCATTGCGAACTTGTGGTCGATCCTCAAGAGGCAGGTGGACAAACAAAACCCCACAAATTCTGACAAACTCCAAGCATTGATTATGCAAGAATGGGCTGCCATCAGTCAGGATGTGGCCCAGAAGTTAATTGACAGCATGCCAGGGCAGATTGCAAAGGTCTTGAAAAAGAAGGGTCAGCACTGCAAATATTGACTCTTTGCATAAACTTAATGTAATTGTCAATAAAAGCATTTGACACTTATGGAATGCTTGTAATTATACTTCAGTATACCATAGCAACATCTGACAAAAATATCTCATAACACTGAAGCAGCGAACTTTGTGAAGACCAATACTTGTGTCATTCTCAAAACTTTTGACCACGACTGTACTTTGCCACTTTTGAGATTGGACTATCCTCTTGTGGATTTTCCCAAATAACACTTGGACATCCTACCATTAATGTAGCCTACAGTAAAATTGCAACATTATATCATTACAATATCTTGGGATAATTTTCCCGCCTCTGCGCGAGGTCATGGGCAGGTCACAGTAACTGGTAGACTTATGCTTGTAGCATAAAGGAGGGAAATGGTATAACCTTTTTTGTAAAGTTGCCATAAAACAGACTTGCAAATAATGGTGACAAATAGATATTTACCCTCCGAAGTTATAGTGGTAGCCTATAGTTAATTGGCTGTAGGCCTAAAGCAACATAAATGTATATGATGAATTCTCATCAAATAAAGAGCAGTAGCATCCAAGACACCAAGTGGCATTTAATTAGAAAAAAATATCATAAAAAAAAAAAAAACGTTTAATGGCAATATGCTTAAGGTACAGAGCAATTTTAATGATCAAAATGTTACACAATTATGCCCAAAAGAACCCTTATCTAGAGGTCATATTTTACTCAGACTTTACAGTTACAATTCACATGAACCTATCAAATACTAAAGCTATAATACAACAGGGAGACTTCATTTGAATGTAATTTGATTTTGTACCCTTATACTGAAAAAACGTAATATCCTATATCACCACAGTGCTGATCTCAGCCTCAGCCTCATGTTCAGGCTCATCCTCGGGGTACAGTCTGCAGTATTTGTCAACCATGACATCCAGGTCATGCTTAAGGTGAGAGTTTATGTGGAGCACGGCCAGACTCTTGCACCTGTGTTTGATAGGTGTGTCACTGAGATAAGTCTGAAGGCGTTTCCTGGATGTCTCAGAGCTGCTGCTGTCCTCCAGCATCAGGACAGGCAAGGTGGTCAGGACCTTCAGGAAGCAGTTGACGTTGGGGAAGAACTTGACGTCCGACAGCTGAAGCGTCTCGTGGATGGTGGAGGGCAGGCGGACCTCCTTGCTCCGGTGCTTCCATTTGATCTTCCAGCAATGCAGCTCAGCGGGCAGCGTGTCTGGGTTGGGGAGGTCCTTGCGGTACACATCTGCATGGTTCTCCTCTGAGGTGTTGAACTTCATCTGGCCCATGATGGCAGGGACCAGGGACAGGCACTTGAGGGCTTTGAGGTTGCTCTGGGAGAAGATGTCGTCCACCTCATCGATGATGCCGCGCACCACCGGGACCGTCACATACTCCTTGAAGTAAGTCTCTGGCGGGATCTCGCCTGCGTCGGCCGAACGGTGCTTCCGGAGGAACAGACGAGGCACCTTCACTGGGATCTCCATGGTACCTGCCAGATTCACAGCCTCCTCAAACCAAAACTCATGGTAGACTTCGATGTTGTCGAAGACTTCATTCAGAGAGTGCAGGACAGCTGTTAGACTGTTGGCAGCGAAAAACACATCAAGGGCCTCCCCTTGCAGGTTTTTGCCAAAGGCTCGTGTGAAGGAAAGAGCGTTTTTCAGGATGACCAAGGTGACAATGAACTCAAAGTCAGCCAGGGCCTCTGCGATTGAGTAGGCGTCCCCAGTCACAGCATCAGGGAACTTGACGTTCTCATTGTCCCGAATGCAGTCCATGCACAGCAGGAGGGACTCAAACAGGTCTACAGTCAGTTCAAACACGTTGTGCTGCTCTGTCCAGTTAGAGCTGCAGGCCTCCTTCAGCTCGGCTGCCTTCTCATCATTTCCTTGGTGGTAAACAGAGATGGCCTTCTCCAGCTCAGCCTGCAAAGAGGGAGACTGCTTAAAGAAGACATCAATCTTTCTCAGGGTTGCCATGACAACCTGAACGCTGGGGAAGGGAAGGCTGTTGGCCAGGTGGATATTCAGTGCGCAGGTGGAACAAGGTGTGTGCATTGCCATGGGGTACTTTCCCATCAGTCCGACTGCCACAGCTTTCATCTTAGTGGCGAAGGTGCCGGTGGCTACATGGGCCTGGCCGCGGCAGTCCTCCATCCTCAGCCCCCAGCCGTCTGTCACCTGGGTCTCCAGCTTCTCTACCAGTGAGGCTTCGTCCCCCTCGAACGGCAGAAAGTCCAAGAACTCCTCCCTGAGAGCATTGGACTGATCTACAAACCGCAGGAAGAGAGGCAGGTGTCTCTCCCCAGCGAACTCCACCAGGTCCCCTGTGACCAGTGAGAAGAAGCGACTCTCTCTCACCTCCATGAGGACCTCCTCTCTGACAGTGCCCTCGCAGACGTCTAGGAGCTGGCTCTGCTGGGCCGCGGAGAGGTACTCCACATTCACTGCTGTGGCCTCAAACCGCCTCCTCAGAGCCTCGTCTCCAGCATTAATGCGGTACTCCAGTAAGGCCTGGAAATTACTGGGGTCTCTCTCCACTCCTTCTGGGACATTGGTCTCCAATGGGATGTTCTGCTTTCCTAGCATGACAACAATCTCAAAAAGAGACCTCAGGTAATCTCGGAACTCCTTCTCCTCTGGGGACAGCTTGATTTCCTCCTCAGCGGCATCTTGACCCTCGGTTGCCTCAATGTCTTTCTTTGAGTGGAGCTGTTCAATGGAGGATGCCACTGCAAGAAAACAAAAAAATGAAATTCGATATAAGCACATGTTCAACACGAGTATGGATACAATAATACTTTTAAACAAAAACAATGCAACTTACATCTTCTCTCTTTAATTCTCCTTATGTCTTCTTCAGTCTGTTAAAACAATTATTTGAAACACAAGACAATGTAACTATGTTTACTATTACATTGAAAACAGACCTACAGAAATGAAGCCAGTAGTAGTTCACAAAACTGTTCCTTTATGAAGCAACACTAGGACATAAAGTTCTTGCAAAAAAGAAAATATATTATACCAATTCTTTGATCCGCTTGCGATGTCTGCTATGAGGATTTTTGAGGTGGCTTGTTAAATCAAATATGGTTGGAATAGCAGTATCCTTCAGTACTGTTCTGTAAGGGCTCTGAAAAACAATAATGAAGACAAAACAAGTTATTCAAATACATGAATATCAAAACACAGCTCAAGACCTCTCAAATGTAAGATTATGATCATCTCTAAAAAGAGATTGTTCAGTGAGGTGGACATGTTTCAAACAAAGATCTTTGTGGTTTGACACGCACTTACTGTTTTACAAACCATAGCCGGGTCGAAGTGTTTGGCACACAGTCTGTAGTGTTTATTGAGTTGGTCTGATGTTTTCGCCTCCAGATCCGCCCGGCGACAGTTCTCAACCCAGAGCCTACATCTGAACAAACCATAATAGGAGGGGTTAGGTGGCTTTTTTTGTTGATAAGCCTAGTTACCAGGTCCAGACTGAAGACGATGATTAATGGATTATTTAGGTGTGTTAATGCTTGGGTGGAACAAAAACCAGCATGCCCATTAGCTCTCCAGGACCAGAGTTGGAGAACCATGAATTAAATGATACCTAATGTATATATTTCCCAATCGTTTCACCAGAGGTACGATGGATCTACACCACAAATGCCATGGGGGGCTAACTTATCTATACAACTCCACACACACCACCTAGCTCGTTGCAAGTGTGCTGGCTAGCAAGCAGGCTAGCCATTTTTCACATACTAAAGTTAGCAATGATGACTAGCGTGTTACTGAACACAACATAGCTAGATTTAGCTAGCTATCGTATAACTGGTTACTCCCCGAGAAAAGTAGGGGTTCATATTGTGATTATCAGACTTTGTCATACCTTTCTGGATCTCTTGGAAACCTGAAAAAAGCCAAATCGGATTGAGTGCTCTTCCTGGTGCAATTTGGAGCCGCGCAAAAATTGGGCATTGTGCATAAACGTGTATTCAATTTCAAATGAATTTAGTATTCAGAAATATGTTTTGCGTTTAAATAATGTCAATTACACAAGCTAGCTACCTGTTACTTTTAAATTAACCTAAAAAACGCGCAACAGTGCTAAACGTGGCCTGGAGGAGTTGAGAAAGAGGAAACCGAACTGCCTTCGTTCCACAAACAATGTATTTCACGTCACGTGCTCATTGGCGTTCTCTTTCTCTCTACGCACAGATCCAGGATCAGCTCTAACTAACAACCATTCTACATTTACATTGTAAGGGTTAAAAGCTAAATTTACCTCGGATCAGCCTAAAACCCATGAACAGAGGCTTGCAGATGACCGCGCTGTCTTCAACGTTACGCTGACGATTTCGTTAAATATAGCTGGTTTGTCATGGCAATTGGACATAAAATGCGAACTATAGTACATTTTAAACGGCTACAGTTTGGGCTCATGGAAAAAACCAACACTGATGCACTTCAAAA